GTCAGTAGTTCTAGGACAGTTGCAGTAACTGTTTCTGTGCTCCTCTTGAAGGCTTAAAATATCTCACTGGGTCCCTGTGAGTTTGCTGTGGTACCTCAGCAGTTTGGGTACAGAGAATTTAAGCTACTGAAAGATTTTATTCTACTGTAAAAACAGAGCATGAATTATTCAGTAGGATTACTAATAGCATTTAGCAATTTATAAATTGTCCTTTTTAAACAACATTGCAATAGAAATTCTTCTACACTTATCTTTATGTAATTGTACAATTATTTAATTTGATCATCTTTTCATCTATCTTTTATTACATGCCTATTATGCGCCAGGCACTATTTGAGATACTTAAGGAAGGGAGGTGGAAACAAAGACCCTCATGAAATTTATACTCTACTAAGGAAGAAACAGAAAAACTAATCTTTTTAGCTAGTAAGAACTTTGAAATACATAACAAAATAACATCAAGACTAGGAGCTACAGGGGAAGGAGCTATTTCAGTCAGGGAAGAGCTCCTAACAACATGCACTGAATAGAGAATATGCTGGTGTAAAGGAATGGGTCTAAGATGGTCTGGGCAATATTGTTCTAAACAGGATAAATTAATAAAAAAGTCCTTAAGGCAAAATGAGCTCACAGTGTTGGAAGCACTAGCCAAACAGCAAGGTTTATTCAAGAAGAGCAAAGAGGGCCCTCCCTGATGGTGTAAGGGGTTAAGTCTCAACACTGAAACTATGAGTTCCATCCTTGGCCAGGGAGCTGCCCCACACGGCACAGCAGACCTCTCCTGCTGCTTCTGCTGCTCCCCTCGGCAGTGTATTTCAGTGCATCAGCCTGTACTACTCCCTATTATGTATCTGGTGAGTCCTCTTATTCCCCCACCCTGCACATTTCCTACACCTCAGCTCTTGTATGCATACTCTTTAAAAAAGATGAGCAAAGAGGAGATTGTACTAAAATGGATAATGAGAGGGGAAAAGATTATACAGGACTTCACAGGTCAAGAGAAAGGAGTCTGAGCACTTTGGAGAGGATTCCAACCAGGGAAGAAACATGATGACACAATCTCTCCAGCTATTCTGCGAAATGTAGGAGGGAACAACTAGGGATAGGGCTTCTGTAGCAGTCCATGAGAAAGATGGTAGATATGGATATGGTCATAAATGGCTGGATTCTAGACATCTTGAAAGACAGAACTGACAGACAAGCAGATGGACTGAATGGGGTATGAGAATGAAAGAGCCAAAAATAACTTTTAGGTTTTGGGACTGAGCAACTGGATGGATGGATTTGTGTTCCTTCTTTTCTAAACCAGGGAATACTGGGGGAGGGGTATTTTCAAGGGGGGGAATTAAGAATTTTTTTTATTAAAGATCAATTTTTTGAAGTGCTAAGGATGAGCCAAGAATATGCTTGTTAAATAACTGATAAAATTGTCAGATTATCTTCCAAGATTATAAAAACTTGTCCTCTTACCAACAATATGTAAGCATGCCTAATTTTCACTATTTTTGCCACAATGAAAAATATTCGATAAGGAAAAGATTTTACTTTAATTTGCAAGCTCTTTTTTTATTGGCCATTTGTACTACTTCTGTGAAATACCTATCTCAAGTCTTCATCCATCTGTCAGGTCAATGTGTATTCACTCTCCTTATAGATTTGTAATGTTCCTTATATATCAAGAAGTTGACATTCTGGGCCCTCCCTGGTGGTGCAAAGGGTTAAGTCTCAGTACTATAAAGTGACCTGCAGCATCAGTTAGATCCTGGCCAGGGAGGTGACCTACATGGTGTAGCAAACCTCTCCTGTCTCGCCCACAGCTCTTCAGCAGTGTTATTTCAGTTGATCCATCTGTACTGTTCCCCACTTTCTCTGGTGAATCCTCTCACACCCTGCACCTCTGGCCTGTACCCCAGTTCTTGTATGCATAAATAAAATCTTTTAAAAAATGTAAAAGAAAGGATTTCTGCTTTTATTATCAGCCCCCCCCTCCCCATGCATCCTATATTTTTTCTATGGTGTACAGTTTTGTGTTTGAGGCTTACAACTTAAGTTCACCTGGTATTTATTCTGTGGTAGTGTGAGCACAGGAGATTGTAACACCTGTTACATGTATCACACTGCAGAGCCCTCTGCTTCAGGAAGACTGTCTCTATCCAAATACAAAGCAATTCAATTCCACTTCTCCAGCCAACTGGCTGCCTCCAATTCAATCCACAAAAGGAGTGCAAGTCACCAACAGCTCTCTCCTTTAACTACCTTGCTCTGCTTCCATTCTCCTCTCCAATTCTTCCTCCTCTCCAATCAGTTCTTTGTAGATAAAGCAAAGTAGTAATTGTTTTTTACATAAACTCAATGTCATGCTCCTGCTTATAATTCTACAATGACTGTCTACTGAAAAAGATAACTAAATCCTTACCACGATTTACAATATTCCCACCTGACCTCATCTCAGCCTCTCCAGCTCATTTCCTTAACATCCCCTCTCATCCACTAACCCTAACCACTCTAATCTTTCAATCCTTTTAATACACCAAATTCATTTCTCCCTCAGGACCTTTGCTATGTCCTCTGTCTGAAAAGCTCTTGTCCTAGAATCTATGGCAAAGATAACTGGCAGTTTCTTACTATTCAAGTAATGTAACGTCCTCAGACAGGCCTTACACCTTAAAGTAGCCTCACTTCCGCGCATTTAACCCTCATTTTATTTCAAGTCACTAGCTATTAACTGCTTATTCCTTTATTCGTATGTTTGTCTGTTTCAAACCCTGTCCCCACAGAAAGGGACACCCCCACACAGATAGGGTCCTATCTGTCTTGTTAAAACTATGCATCGCCAGAGTCAGTTGTGTCTATCACACAGCAGGTGGTCAATGTTTGTAGTTCAAGGAGGTATGGAAATCTGGAGTTCTCATCCAAACTTTCAAAGGGTCTCTAGAATTTGTGTTCTCGTTAATTGTATCTAACTCTTCTCTCGTTTAACGTCCGTCACTCTGCGATGTGGCGTGTCCCTCCTCCTTCCAGTCCATCCTACGGCCATACCCCACCAGGACAGAGCGCTAGCTCACACCCTAGCAAAATTTAACTCCTGGGGCCACGAGGTAGGACCCCGCATTGCCAGGGCGCGGCCAGCCCATCCTCCGGTTCCGTCACCCTAGAGCAGCAAAAAGCAGTTTCCTCAAGCCCCGCCCGCGGCGCGGGAGGAAGGAGTGGGAGGACCGAACGGCTTACCAGTTCATCCGGACTGAGGACTCCGAACTGCACTCTCTTGATGGTGCGCAGCGGGCATGCGCTGTCCCCGGAGGGGGGGCCACCCCCGTGCATCGCGGAGGCAGTCGCGCTGCGCAGGCGCAAACCTCACTACAAAAAGCCTGCGCCGCCTCCGCCTAGGTGCTCAGACCCCGTCGGGGCGGCCACCGGGAAGGACCTCCCCGAGTAGGGGGGAAAAGCCGGAGGAGGGGAAGGTGGGGGAGGGAAAGAGGCGGGGAAACGAAAAGGAGCGAAAGGCGCTCTCCTCCCCCTTTCCGGAGATTTTTCGTCTCCCAAATAGGAAAAAAAAAAGAAGGGGGAAAGGAAAAGGTTCTGGGGGAGGAAGAAGAAAAGGGGTAACGAATAAATAAGTAACCGGGCTCCTGAACGGCAGAGGTTACGGCAGTTTGTCTCTCCCCCTTCCGGGAGCCGCCTTCTTCTCCAACCGTCCCGGCCGCGCTCTCGGCGCTTCTGAGGAGCGAACTGGCCGAATGACGCCCTTTATAGATTCGCCCCTGCTTCCCCGCCCCTTCCTTTCCCGCCCTCCCTTGCGCTACGGGGCCGCCTACGCCGACCTGCAAGGGACGCGCGCTCCAGTCGTTGATCCTCCCTTCCCCGCCGCCTGGTTCGGCGACCTTTCGAAATGACAAGGGGGAGGGAAACTTTCTTTTTAATGTCGCCGCTACCCCTTGTTACGCCCTCCCACAGAGAAGTTTAAAGGGTAGAGGGTAAATATAGACCGTTTTATTCGAGTTTGGACCGTGAGTTCATCTTCAGGGAAAAAAATCGTTCATAATATACCCCCTCTGGAAAATGGTCTGCTCTGCGAATCGGTAATGAAGGAGGCGGGGCCTGGCGGGGCGTCCCAAGTGGGTTCTGGGAGGGGGGTGCTGGGGGCGGGCCGTCCGTGGTCATGAATATGCAGTAGTCGTGTTGAATATGCATGATAGACCAAAATGGCGAGGCCAATTGCTCGTCCGGATGTTCCTGATATTTGTCCAGCGGCCTCCAGGGGCTGGTGGGCATCTCCTGCCCTCTGATGGAGCGTCGTGCAGAGCTCTGGTTCTGGATCCGCGGTCTGAGCCATTCGAAGAGGTCTCAGCTCGGAGGCCTGCTCCGGCGGAGGCTGACTACTGTCCGGGAGAGATCACGGGACCTCGACAATCCGGGAAAAGCAGATTAGCCATGGGGCGGGACACAGAGGTCCTGGGGGATTCATGGTCAAGGCATCTGAACATTAGGAAATCCTCCCCCTTCTATAATAGTTCAGAAATAAGATGGGGGTGGGGGCGGGGATCCCAAGGGATTCTCCAATAAGAGCCTTGTAGGACTTCCACTCTCCTTCCAAAGCAGAAATGACACCAACTGCACGGCCACATTCAGTGATCCTTGTTTGATGTCAATGTCACGTCACCACCCCAACGAAGGGGGGGCACAACCACGAGGAAGGGAAATCATCGCTGGGGAAAAAAAAGACACATGCCCTTCCCCCAGTGCAGCTGCTTGCTCTATTTGCCTGAAAGCCCCAAAGCTCTTCTCTGCAGCTAAGGGGAAAATCCTCCCCATTCCGCCCTTTTGATCTGCCTCTCAGACCTTACCCCTTAGTATGCCCTGATCCCCAAGCCCAAGACTCCACAGCTCTTGTTTCAGGTCTTCCTCTCCACCAAATCCCCAAGTCACCCTTGACTCCAAGGGGTATCCCTCTCCCATACCAGTTCTTTTCTGGTCTCTTCTTCGCCCATGTTTGTATTCCAGTCTCACCTTCTATTTACCCCTGCCCCCCCCAACCCCCAGGCTCTCAAGTTTGATCTCACTCCTCCACCTGCCCTTCCCTCTCACAGCTGAGGTTCTGGGCGGTGATGATGGCAATGCTGCCCAACACGACCCCTGCCCCCATGATGTCTGAAGGTGCCACAGTTTCATAGAGCACATAATACTGCAGCATCAGGGCCACCACAACCTCAGAGTGCAGGACAGCACACACCAGGGCAGGGTGGGCCTTGGTGACTGCGTAGCTCACGCACACAAAGGAGACCAGGGCAAGTATCCCCACTGCCCCCACACAGCTCCAACTCAGAGGATCATAGGGCAGCACTGGGGTCTGCAGCACAAAGAGCCCTGGCACAGAGCCCACCAGCCCCACCAGGCCAAATAGGAAGGCCACTGTTGGAAGACAGGAGGGGAAGTCCAGGGATCGATACACCAGAAGCCCCAGAGACAGTGCCAGACCTCCCAGGAAAGCTAGCACATAGCCCAGGGCGGTATAGAGGCCGGTGGTCCCCTCCTGTAATGTCCCTAGTCCAGGTCCCACAATGATGATTAGTCCCAGGGTGCTGCCCAATAGGCCACACCAGTCGTAGCCACTGAGACCCTGGCTCTCTAGGCAGAGGGCGAGGAGAGCAGAGCAGACCGTAGAAGAACCTTTTCGGACCGTGGCAGCGTTGCCAGCAGGCACCACCTGAACAGCACTATAGGCACATCCAATGCTGAGGACATTGAGCAGAGCGTGGAGGCAGGCCCGGCCCCGAACATCAGGAGGTCCCAACAGTGGGTCACCACGTAGTCTAAGTAGCAGGCCAATGGGAAGGTGGAAGAGGCACCGACAGATGAGCAGCTCCAGCGAGGGTAAGTGAGAAGCCTGGTAAGCCATACGGGAGAAGGGGCCCACGAAGCCAGCGGGCAGGCCCCCACCCAGCAGGGCCACGAGCAGGCCCTTGGTGGCATCGGAGGGCCGGCAGCGCTGGTGCGAGGGGAGACTGGGCGGAGTGGAGGGCGGTGATGGCTGGGTAAAGTCAGGCAGGTTGAAGTAGGGGTGACTGCCAGCCTGTTAGGGAGAAAGGAGCTAGGACATTAGGAGATCTGGGTGAGGCAAGTGCCAGGTTGGGGTCTGGGCTCCTGTGGGACAGTAGAGGGGCAGACTCTCTTGCTGCAGAACTCTTGGGAGCTAGTAAGGGTCTAAAAGTTAAAGAGTTGGTACAGTATGGGTCTTAAACTTCTAAATCAGGAAGAAGAGAGTCAGCATTTATGGGAGCAGGTGTTTCTCTGGGTAAATTATTCCTGAAAGGAGAAAAAGAGGCCCCAGGATAATCTGTCGATTTGAGGAAGGGGAGGGGGCTTCAGATGCTAGGTGTCTGTATGATGTCACAGGTTCCAGGGACATCTGTGTACACCATAATAAATTTCATTTGTGAGTGTCTCTAAGACAGGTGGGAAGTTTTAGGGGGAAAGGAGAAAGGGAGCATCCAGGTGCTACAGGAAGAGGGGCTGGGGCTCCATGGCCCCCACACTCACCATCTTTCCTTGGACTTTCTCCTCTCCTCCTGGCTCAGGGGGCCTGGACCCTTTAGAGCTCCAGCCATTGTGACCTGGTTGGAGTGGGGGTGGGGTTCTTCTCTGGAACCTTCCTGAGGTGTGGGGGTGGGCTTTATATTTCCATAAGTCCAAAATTTGTCCGATTCCTTTTTTCTCCTTACACTGTCTCTGTGATGAGATTTCTTTGGTTTTAAATTAATTTATTTATGCCTCCCCTCGTTTCAGAAGGTTTTAGGGAAATAAGCTCTGAGGGCTGGGGCCTATGCCATATTCTGAGGTTTGAAATTTTTGAACGCCATGGAGGAGTCGCTGGGACTGTCCCTCTGGAGTTTCAGGAATGTGTTTCTCCGGTGTGTGCTTCCACCTGGTGTTTTGATGGTGCTGTCCCAGGAGGCCCACTGGGAGGCTTCTGCATTCACGGCACATATTGTGGATATTTCTGCCGGTGGAAACAAAATAGCAAACTGCATGTTCATCTGCTCCGGTAGTCATTTATATGTGCCTGTTCTATAGAGCTGGGGCCCTTCCGTTATAATCGGTGGCCTGGTGGGGGGTCCCCGTGCTTTCGGGCAAGGATATGTGCCTGTGTCCGGGACTCCCCCTGTGAGGGTGCTGAGCCTGGACCTGCGAGTCCCACCGGGTTTGACTGTGTGCCTGCCATGTTTGTGCCTGCGCCTGGAGAGGGTGTGCGTGCTCTGGGCGGTGTGCACCGCCGAATGAAGGGGGTGCAGGGGCAGAGGAGCCCCTTCCTAGGGAGTGGGTGGTCGTGCAGCCCTGCGGGGGTGCTGCTGCCAGGCCAGTGACCCACTGGGTGCCCACACTCCGGGGGCCCCGCGAGGCGCCCTTCCCTTCCCGGGTCGGTCTGGGCGAAGGCCGTCGGGCGCGCTCGCCCTAAGCCGGAGCCGGGAGCCCTGTGTCAGTGTCGGCTGCGCTGCGCCGGCCTCCTCTCGGCGGCGGCAGCGGCAGCGGCGCTGGGGGGGG